TTTCATTGTTAGTATTGAAAGTTGATTTTAGAACCATCACGAAGATTTCCGTTGCCAAAAATGCTTTTAGGACGAGGATTTGAAGTGGGGCTTTATTTTGTTTTCATAAAGCCTAGACCTTATGGGACTGCAAAACTTAACTTTAAGCACTCAAAGTAAGACTCACCTCCAAACCTTGTTGAACGATATAATTTTGGTGTAAAAAACTTTAATAATGATCTGAAAATCTATTTCACGCATGATTATAAAGTTTAAAACTTCGTAAATGTTACAAATCAAGCAGATCTACAAATACTTGAAAATCTTGAAAAATTGATGGTCTAGATGATTTATTATAAGATGTGCCTTTTTAGGCCTTGAAATTCTCTACTTTTTCATATAAGTACATCTTGAGATGATCAATTGGAATGCTTTTCCAAATCAGAATATTCATTTTTTTTATGGACCCGGTTTCAATGCAGCCAAGCCCGCTTATGTAGAAATGCATATCTCTTAATAAATCTAATTTTGAGATGGATTATAAGACTTAATTTTTAAGGACATGTAATCTCTAATATAGATATCATAAATATAAAAAAAAATTAAAAACTATAAATAATAATTTATGTGAAAAAGCATTTTGCTCGTTAGTTTCCATTATTTTTAGATGGAACACATGCTTGCATCCATCTTTAAGATGGATGCTTTACACTTTCTAGACCACATATGTAGGAATGCGGTCTAGCCAGCGTGAAATAATTTCTTTTTTTTTTATTAGGGAAAAAGTTTGTAAAAGGATGCAACTTGGTAGTGTAGAATTACAAATGCACCTAAAAAATCCATAAAAAAAGGTCGTTTTAATGTTAAAAAACCCTTTAATTGATCACATCGAGATGTATGACCATGAAAAATAAAAAGATTTAAAGTATCAGAAATAGTGCATTTTACAATATATTATCTATACCGTCAATTTTCAAGATTTTCATATGTTTATAGATCTACTTGATTTTAACCATTTTTTAAATTTAAAATTTCATAATTAAATATAAAAATAGATTCGAGATGATCCTAAGAACATTTTACATCAAAATTATATACCATCATAAAATTTGAAAGTGCACATTACCTCTACACCTACGGATGCTTGCGTATGCCAAGTGCACCCTTTTATTAATATTCATGGCATACCATTCCTCTGCGCTATAAAATTAACGCCTTTATATAAACTTTCTCCTTGTATTATTAATGCAAAGTTAACTTTATTAAAAAAGACAAGTAAAAGAAAGGTTGAGCGGGATCAGTGGTGGCGGCGGATTGCATTATTACCAAATCAGGGATAGGTGGTGGCGGGGTATAAAATGTTGATTACGGCACTGAAGGATCGTTATGGCTTGAGCGGATAACTACAATCTTTTAGAGAGAGAGAGAGAGAGAGAGATAGAGAGAGAGATTTTCTTTGAATTCAAAAGTGTGCAACTTGAGATGCAACTTGCATAAGCAATTTGACCACTTAAAATGCAAAATTAAATTTTTTTTTCATTTTTTTTTTTTCATAGTTAAGTACAAATTACATTGAACAAAAAAAAAAGGAAAAAGTATAGAATGAGACGATATACTTTTGATACAAGGTGATCACAATAATATTGACCATTGGATGTGAAATTGGATATTAATATGCCTTTAACCTCAAAATGTGTTAGGTATTGTAACAAGTATTTTCATACCTAGGTTGCCAAATGTTGAGAAAGATTGCCCAAGGTCCTTTTCAAAATCAAGCACTCCTTATGGTGCTAGTTGAGTGCAAGGGTGGGGCATATCAGAGGTGGATGTTGTGATTCAGCTTCACAACTTAATCTCGTTGGGTCCAGCTCGAAATAGATCAAGAAGTGTTTGGGGTCCACCTCCTCTTTCTATGCTTAAGTTAAACTTTGATAGTAGTTCACACGGTAATCTTGGGCTGGCAGGTGTAAGAGGAGTGATTTGTGACTCCAATGATCTTATCTTTCTCACATATGTAGGTCCGATTGGTGAAGTCACGGCTAATTTTGCTGCAATGACAGCTCTTATACAAAGTTTAAAATTTTTTGGAGCTAATTTGGGGGAAGACCATGTATTATATAGGGAGATTTGCATAATGCACTTAAATGGTGCAAAACAGAGATTAGGGTTCCTTGGGAACTTAAATCTCATTGGCTTCAAATTCTCGACTTCTTGTTAGGGCATTATGCTTCTTTTCTACATGTTTTTAGGGAAACAAACTATTTAGCTGATTCCTTTGTCAAAGGGGGTGTGTCTTTACCCTCTCTATCTATCTCAAATGATGTAATCCCATTTGGGTAGCCTTTTCTATTAATAAAAAATTCGGATATTGGTAATAAAAAAAAATATCCATTGACCAAGTTCAACCTTCAAAACAATTTTTTTTGAATTTCGTGACGCATCCAAGCTATCAAATTTCATATATCAAATGGTTGTAAGGATTTGTAACCACTTTGTATCAAAGTAAATAGTCTCATTGCATAAAATCCCAAAAAAAATTACAAATTTATGCCCATCAACTTGTCATATGTTACTTTCAATAGAGACGAAATTATCGGATTACCTATAAGAGGTTGACAATTTCAACATTTGTCATATTTTTTTTATTTAATTTCAAAATACCCATAAATAACAAATAGTCTTGAGTTGGATAGTTCCGAAAGGGTATTGTTTAATATGTGATCTTATAGGTATTTTGATAATTCTCCTTCAATAAAAAAAATTTGGTAAGATAGTTTTTTGAAATTATAGTACAAAAGGATAAAAAGAGGGAGGTGAATTTTGACCATTTATGTTGACTCAATTTGTTTTCCTTTAGTTTTCGTTTCTTTTTCCTTAAATAGGAATGCCTGTGCAGAACAAAAAAAAGTAATTTCTACAAAAATAATAATAATTTCACAGCTCCATTTGAAATTAGTAATTCCTCAAAAAAATTCCTTAAATATAAATTATTTGTTAAATATAAAGACAATACTTCCCACCAAAATACGAAGAACAGTGCCCTATTCGAGTTAAAATAGGAAATCCTCTTGTGTAAGAATGCCCATTTCAACAATATAGCAACGAAATAGGTAAATAATATTAGAGAAAAGTTTATATAGAGCCGAGGCTCTAAGCAATCAAATTTGAGCCTACCTCAAAAATTTCACTAGAAAATAGTTTAAACAAACGGCACCTATTATTATGAAAATAGTTTAATTAAAAGTTATAAAATTAAATATGATAAATTTAATGGTAATAAGAGAGTGAATTTTAAATTTCTCAACATTCTTATTTTTCAATTCAATTTGCCTAATCCCTTTTTTTTATATATTTCTAAATGCACATCTAAAATCTCTTTACTTGCATATGTCCTTAGTTTGTTATATATCCCAATGATAAAGTTGCCAAACAAAATATTGTTGAAAACCCCTTCTATGTCGATCAAAATATTGATTGAAATAAATAATTTATCATGGAGAAGAGATATGAATTAGGATGAAAAGAAAATGGATTGTATACAATGAAACCATTTACTTTTGATACAAAGTAGTCACAATTTCTTACAACTATTTGATGTCAAATTTGATAGCTTGGATGTATCACAAAGTTCAATTTTTTTTTTTTGAAGTTTGAGTTTGGTCAATGGAATAATTGTAACCACTCAATTGCACATCCAATGGTCATGACTAATGTGATCAAATTGTATCAAAGGTAACTAGTCTCATTTTATACTTTCTCAAAAAGAAATTCATTAAGAAATTCTAAAAGGCCTTTTTCATGCTAATTATGTAACCAAAAATAGTATCCTAGAAATAGGAATCGCTATAAGAGTATTTTTCTTATCCAAAAAGATTTAAAAAAGAAAAGAAAATACAAGATAGAAAATAAAACACTCATCTCCATTTATACTATTTTTGTTCTCCAACAAAACCGACACGTCATACATTGGTGTTAAAGTGTGTTGCTGACCAAGACAAAGTCATGTGTACATAAACAAGGTCCTCATACAATCCAAAAGTGAAAGTTATTTATCAACGGCCCACGGGTCTTAAATGAAATGGTCAATTCATTTCATGGAAAACTAAACGTAGAAAAAATTAAACTTCCATCCTTTTAAAGTCGTAGATTGGGAAACGGACTGTAGAAACACACCCCCACCCCCCCACCCCCCTTACTCACCAGGTTTTCATTTTTACTTACACCATCGAGGTAATATTTTTTAAAAAAAATAGGTAAGGGACTATCTTCCGTATTGAATTATCCAAAAAAAAAAAAACAAAAAAAAAAAAACGGTAGTAAGAATACTTACAGTGCCCTGCCCAGCCCTGCCAGCTTGGACCACTAAAAGAGGCCCTGCCCTAATTATCCAGGCTAAAGAATTTTTTTTAAAAAAAAAATTGCAAAGAAAAATACTGGCCCGTTATGGCCATGGCACCTACGGCCAGATCTTGCAGCCCTAGCCCTAATGTTTTAGGGTGGAGCTAATCAGGCCTGAACCACCCTGCCCATTGCCATGATAGGAGAGAGAAAAAGAAACTTATGAGGAGAGGATAGTAAGGGTAGCAATAGGTTGGGTCAGGTTCAGGTTCAGCTGGACCCAAAAATAAACTATAGTACCTGGACCGGGATTCAGACCCAGACCCAAACCCAAACCCAATCAGGTCCAAAGTCCCCAAACCTAGACTTAAAAAGATATATTTAATTCAAAAAACAAAAAGAGAAACTACTTGGACCTGAACTTAGACCCAAACTCCCATCTAGATCCAACACCGACCCAAACACAAATCAGGTCTAATCTACTATACCCAGACCCAACATGTGACCGTACCCAAAACAGGGTCGGGTCTCGGGTCCCGGGTCCCTGTTCCCAAGTGCGACCAAATAGGAGGCGCCTGTAGCACCTGAGCAGTGAGAAAGAGAGAACGGGTTGTAACCGCTGAATTACGCATAGAAAAAGAGGATATCTCACGTGCGTAAAAAGGAACCGTGAACGCGTGACGCCCACCATGGCACGGTCCGTGCCTTGAACGAGTCGGCGGTACAACACTTACAAAACCGAGAGCCCTCCGCCTGTCTCTGTGTTTCTTCTTATTTTGTGTTTGGGTGTCTAAAAGCGCCAGGTGATCATGACTGGAAGAGAAATCTTGCACAAGATGAAGGTCCTCTCTCTCTCTCTCGCCTCTTTATTTGGTTACTTGCGCTATCTGGTTTTCCTTTATCCTTTCTCTCTTGAAATTCTGTGTTTTTTCTCACTCTAATAATTTGAACGTTTTAGTCTTTCTTATGTCCCTCTGTTCGGTATTGTTGTAAATCTTTGGTAAATTTCAATTTCATAGTAACAGAGAAAATGGGTGACCGGAATCATGAGAATTGGATCACTTCCTCTTCTTTTATGTACTGCGTTTGATTATATTGTGTTGGCGTCTCTCATGAAATTCAATTATGTATGTCCCGGAATTGTCATTAGATAGAGTTGCTTCCCACAAATTCTCTGTGGAATGAGTTGGTTTTGTGCCTGCTCATGGTGTATTTTCTTCTGAAAATAAAGGGAATGATCTGATCATTTCTCCGCAACATAAAGGTAGTGATCTGATCAGTTGTGATCATAAGCTGAACTCGCCGTTCGTGGCATTTGTGTATCTCTAATGGACTTTCAGCGCATCTGCTTAGATAAACCCTTGTTTGGTATTGGGGAACAAACCCCATGCTCGTAGTACACTGCTACTTCTTACCTGTCAGGGCTTAGAAGTGATTACCATAACCTGACAAATGTGTTCCGTTGGTTTTTAAATTGACAGTTAGTGAGTACCGATGGACATTGATGCTAGAAATAGATATTAATGTCTAGTGATGATTAGCAAAAATAAACATGAATTGGTGTTCATAGAAGAGTTACATTTTTATTGGAGCGTCCCTTTCTAACTCTTGGCATGTGATTTAAGTTTATTACAAATTTTGGCGCCTTCGGATGCAGGAGTCTGCTGTGGTTTTTTATGGATTTAGAACGTGAAACATATTTTAAACTACCAGAAATGCATTTGGCCTTAGGTCTCTCCATTTGCAGCACTAAAAAATAGTGCAGATATAATGGTTTGAAGGAATAAAATGGGCGGCGCAATTAGAGTTCCAAAATACCCTGCTTTTGAAGTTCATAGTTTTTTCAGATTCATGATCGTTATTGTTGAGATCATTGACAAGAAAAGACTCTCACCATGTTGCATGTGAACATTCAAGAATGTGGTTTATAGTTGTTCCACTCTCACCATGTCGCATGTGAACATCCAAAATATAGTCGACCTGTAAAACTTTGGATCCGAAATCCATCATAGGGATGAACAGGTGTCTAGACACATTCATGGCGAGATTACTGGCTCTTACATGCCCAAGAATGGAGAAAGCTGTGAAGTTAAACTTTAAAACACGTGGTGGACTGGTGAATTTTCCTGCCTAATTAGTCAATAAGGGAACTTGATTAGTAAATTTGAGTAGTAACTAATTAGTAAAATAGATGAGTAGTGGTAAATTGGAAGAGTAGTATAGCTAACTCACATGCTGAGGGAGGCTTTTACATTTGGGACCATGATTGTATTGGCATGTACACTCTGTTGCTTCGAATAATCTGAGTTTCATTCCCGAAAAGAGTGATTAGTTGTTTCCTTGACTTGCGCTTCCCATGATACATATTCATTTTGACAGATGCCCCATCTTCCATTTGTTTTCTCTTGGCTTGTTCTTAGATTAGTTCTCCATCCCTGTGCTATTTTTTCTTTTCGGCACATGATTGCTTGGCGTAAGATTTGTTTTACTTGCTTTCTTCGGAGAAATTTCAGAGATCTATATGCGTATAGTGCTTTCATGAACTAAGCTTCATTTTTCTCTTGAATGGTCACAACCCCAATGGGTCTGAAAACCTCTCGATAACATGTTTGCAAACTTCGCATCTTTGGGGAATGGTGGTCAATGAAACATTGCAATTAATACCGAACTATTGGGCCATATGGTGGACACATATCCATTAGGACTTTCATGGCTACCATCTCTTCTTAGACCATACATAGAGAGAATTCCTTATGGGAAATAATACCTAATGGTCCTATGCATGCTATGTTATAATCATCTGGAATCTGCTGTGTGTTTTCAAGAGGGATGGTGATGACGAGTCCTAGTTTCTTTTCCAGACTGTCACCATGGACTGCAGTTCATCTCCTCTGCCCATCTTGAGAATTGATAGAGGGTGCCCCAATGAATGTGTGCTCCAAATGAGTGGTATATATTATTCACATGTACTTTTTCATTCCTGATTAGAAACTAATTTATTTGGGCTGGGTCCACGGGAGGGGAATTCAGGCAGGTCCACAGGAAGGGAATTCAGGCAGGTTTCTTTTTAAGGGACGAAGCCAATATTCGGGAGTGCAGGTAGTTAACTTAGTTTCTTTGATAAAAAAACAATGACATTTTCCTTTTCTGATTATTCCTGGGATGACATGCAAAACTAGTGAAGCTCTAAACTTGATTGCTGGTCGATCACCTACTAGCTACTTGGATTCTTCTTGAGCAGACAACATGACTGCTAGTATTCGATCACTTATGTGATAGATAGTTGGTCCATGGACTTCGGCATTTCTGCTACTCATACAATGGGTAGTTACTGAGGGTAATTGATCTCCCTCTGGTTGGTAAATGGCTCTGCCGGTTGGAAAACCATTAAAGATGAAAGCCTGGAAACTATTGAGACTAAATAAAGAGTGATCAAGATCTGCTGGAAATTCAACAGAAGATATAATGATTTATTATCATCTCAAAGAGGAGTGATGATCAACCTGTTTCACCAACTGTAAATAACAGGGAAATAACTACAGAACTGGTGTGACGGTACCTTTGTCTTCCTATTCTGTCATGAAAAACATTTGAGATTACCACTGCAGAAGTATGCTATTTCCCATTGGACTATGTAAATCGTAGTGTGGACTATGTAAACTGTAGTCCATTGGGATATTAACAAGCTCAATGAAATGGGCATTGATAGAGAGATTGTGTATGCCATGACTGGATCCATCATGTCACCCTTCATCTTCCATTGCATGGTGATAGCACGGATGAGCTGAAGTTTTATAATTTCATTATTCAAATGAATCATATTATATGTTTCCATTACAAAATTTAGAAGTTCTCATTTTTTTTGGGAATGTTTCCTTTTAGATTTTAATTTGATTGAACTATCATACCTGATCATGACATTACTGAATATGGGGTTTTGTGATCTTTTTAGGCAGCAGCAGGTTTCTGCCCATCAACATCAGACACAGGAAAGGGGAAGAGCAAGCTGTGTAGGCATGTCACTCATGGATTTCACTTGGTTAAGGGCAAGGCTAGGCATGCCATGGAGGATTATGTGGTGGCCCAATTCCGTAAAGTAAAGGATACTGAGTTGGGCTTATTTGCAATTTTCGATGGCCATTTGGGTCATGATGTGCCAAATTACTTGCAGTCCAACTTGTTTGATAACATTCTGAAGCAGGTACAATGTTTTGACTTATTTCCATTATTTATTTGTTTATATTCTTTAGAAATGACATGCAAAGACAGAATATAAGTGAAGCCCCTATATATGAGTCAGTGACTCCAAATAAATGAGAACACAAAATGATATGCTCATGAGCTCAGAGGAAAACCTTTTCACTTCAGTCTCATGCTTCACCTAAAATTGGACTTGATTAGTAGCTTCCTTTAATGTTCATCTATCTTAGTAGCTTTGACTTACATGCCGATTAACTGTTTTTTGCAAATTGTTTCTCATTTGCCCCATTGGTATTTTTTTGAGCCATTTTTAGGTAAATGAAATGCTTTTTCTCAAATTCAATTGCTAGATTTTCTTTCAGAGTAAATGTATGTTATAATGAATCAAGGTTTTTATCATGATAATAATGAGATATTTTAAGATGGGTGTGGTCTACGTTCCACACCATGTGGACGCTCGAAGGGTGCTCAAGCAACTTTCAACAGCTCAGATTGAAGAGGGCTAAAATTCATCGTCGTTTTTATTTTTATTTTTATTTTTAGTTTACAAATGGGGTGTCGATACCCTTTATAGGAAGAACTAATAAAAAATGAAGAATATTTCAGATTAGTAAAAGGGAAATTTATCAAATGACACATGAGAGATGAACATTAATTACCTTACCCGTATCTTTTGATTCAATTTTTTCAATACCAAAAACACAAGATCATGATCTTGTGTTGAAATAGTTGCAATTGGGTAGAAATTTAAATAGTTCATCTCTCATGGTATCACGATAAGATAAAGATGATTTCAATTTATCTGAGATAATTGTCACTGAAGTTTTAGGACATCCTAAACTTTTCTTGACAAGGAAAGCCATTCATATGAAATCCACGTTTGCAGGTTCTGGGCATATATGACAAGATGTGAGAAGTTGTAAAAATGCTAAAAACAAATACAGGCAATTACTGTTTGGGTGACTCTTTATCCATAATGTTTGGATAGGCCAATTAACTCGTGGTCTCAAGGATTTAATTCTCCATTTGGAAAAAGCCGAAACCAAAGAAAAGAAAAAGTAAAAGTTTGACGCAAAATTAGACACCCAACGAGAACAAGAAAAATTTCTGCTATGATTATGTCATCAAAACGTGTGAATTTCTAGAAAGGTTCTCAGGACATGAATGTAACTTGCACATCTTTTGCAAGCAGCAAGACTTTTGGACACACACAGAGAATGCAATAAAGAAAGCGTACGAAATAACTGATGATAAGATATTGGAGAAAGTGGTCGATTTGGGAAGTGGAGGTTCAACTGCTGTCACTGCCATACTAATGAATTGTGAGAAGCTAGTCATAGCGAATGTCGGTGATTCACGGGCAGTTGTTAGCAGAAATGGTGTGGCTAAACAGCTATCTGTTGACCATGAACCAAACAAAGAGCGTGAGGCCATTGAGAAGAAAGGTGGCTTTGTATCAAACCTCCCAGGTACTGCAAGCTTCTTATTCTGGGATCGCCTCTTCTGGTTATACAATTTGGTCATGATCTTTTGAATTGTATTTTGCCTTGTGGTTAGGAAGTTTTGAATTAAAGATGCCCAAAACATTTTCAAAACATTTTCCTTGACTCTTCCTTATGTCATCTTTCTTTAGTTTATAATTACAAAGCTCTTATTGAGTTAATGGTCTTCATATTGCTTGGGACAGGTGATGTTCCTCGTGTTGATGGGCAGTTGGCGGTAGCCAGGGCATTTGGGGACAGAAGCTTGAAAGCTCATGTCAGTTCTGAACCACATGTTGTGGTGGAGATCATTGAGCCTGATACGGAGTTTCTCATCTTGGCAAGTGATGGTCTATGGAAGGTTGGTTGGAAAGAAAACTCTCTCTCTCTCTCACATATATATATATATATATATATATATGGGCAATGATTTCATACAACGGTTGTATAGTACTATGATGCAACAACCTTCAAAAATCATGTTACGGATATTTTTTTTATCCTAATTTTGAAACATATACTCTTTTCATTCTAACGAACAATCACAAAAAAGAAAAATTCGAAAATGCAACCTAGAAAGTGTTTATTTAGCCCAATTAACATAGGCCGCCCATTTTGGTGAGATGTTTAGATTGAGGCCATAGAATGATCTTTTTTTAAAAAAAAAATTTTTTGGATAGCTTTATTTTCATTAGATTAACAATATTAAAAAAGAAAAAAATGATTTTGAATTCATAAAGGCCTAGATTTTGAAATTCATCAAATTGACGGTCTAGATTCATTGTTGGAGGGGATTCATTTCGACCATATATAGGGTGCAAATTAGTTTTTTTTTTTTAGATTGATTATTGGGGATGAAGAGAGTGAGTGAGTAAAATTTTGGGTCATACAAATACCTCAAATATAATTTTCTAGAAATGTGGTTGCGTTATACTATGATACAACCATTGCATGAAATCACTGCCCTATATATATCTATGGAAGGTTGGAGAAACTCTCTCTCTCTAACTCACAAACGTGTGTGTACGCACGCATGCACCCCTATGTGTGTTACCAAGATCAGGTAGCGTTCTACAAAAGCAAGTTAACTGTGCACTTGCACTTGCTCACTTTGGCAAAGCACCCCATAGGAGGATTCGTTAGATGACCAATGTTAGGAATCACCTGATGACTAATTTCAACATGAAAAAAAAAAAAGACTTTTTGAGTTACACCTAGATATGTACCCCTCCAAAAAACACAGTTCCCGTTCAATCCAAGGGCATCAACCTTTTTAGACTTTCCTAGACAGTTCCGGAGTTAGATCATAGTACCCAATTTTGTTTATAATTTGGTTGCTAGTTGAGCCAATTGCATCCCCAAAGTTGGGAGTCGTGATCCATGAAAGTGATCCAACTATGGTGTTTTCAGAGGCATTATCTATTTCGTTCCATGGATCATATTTCTCTACTTCTGTAGTACACGTCTCAGGCACCATGTAAACAAGGAGGTGATGATTCTTTGGGCTATCCTGTTATCTCTCTCTCATGTCCACGGCTTGTGTTTTTTGCTATATTAAGGTTATGACAAACCAGGAAGCAGTAGATTCAATTCGATCTGTGAAGGATGCGCAGGCTGCAGCTAAGCATCTCACAGAGGCAGCTTTGAACAGAAAAAGCAAAGACGATATCTCATGTGTCGTCGTGCGTTTCCTCTGACCTTTTGCTCTGCATTGTGTGTATATTTCTGTTCCAGTTTCAAGAAAGGCTACTCTTGCAAGTGTGTTGCGGCCTGGTTGTTTCACCTCATGGGGGTGTTGATGTAATCATAGTACAAAAATTCAAACAAAAGATTGTATTTATTGAATGTAGTCTGTCATCGCCATAGAATCTCTCGTACGGCAATGTTGTTTTACTTTTAATGAAAATGTGATTTTATTTATGATGAACTGTGGCCATGCTTAGAGGGGAGGGGATATCAAATCTTAGCCACGGCTTCTCTTAACAAGCTTTCTTTCGCTCTAGACGGTCTCCCTAGGCGCGGTGGCATCTTTCACAGGCCACTTTGGAGCACCGTGGCTTTTCCTATTTTCTATCTCTGAACTATTTTCCTAAGAGGCTCCAACTCTTCTTCTCACAGAATACTTCTCATCAATCCCTTCCCACTCGCATCACCTTTTTATTGAAACCTATGGAAAGATAACTCTAACATAGAGATGAACCCTAGAGGACTTTTGACCCATCAAAACAGCAGAACCTCTAACCTAATCTGATGGGATTCCATGTTCTTCACCATATTTTCAAATTCAAGGAATTTCTTATCTAACTTGATAACAGCTTAATCTAATCCTTGAACTTATCATACTGAATCTAGTAATGTCACATTTAAACATCATCCTTTATTACAAAGTTGATCTAGCATTTGTGGTTTACTTTTTGCTATTTTCTCTCGATTCGGTACTTTAGTGAAGCTATTAACCATTTGTTTGTTTGTTGGTATATATATCAACTTCTTCGGTGAACAAATTCTCACGAACATTGTGATAGTGCACTTCAATCTGCGTCGTACGTGCACGAAAGTTTGATTTCATGGCAAAATTATTGAACAGATGTTGTCGATGTGATTTCGGACATTCTAATCCATCGATTCTCCTAAAGCATTTGGGTCAACCATATACTTTGCCCTGGGGTTTCATTGCAGCTCTATATTCAGTTTCTGTTGATGATCTTACAATTGGTTGCTTCTTGCTTGCCCATGATACACGTCCAAATCCCATACTGAAACTATTACCAATGATTGCTTAGTTGACTTACTTGAGTCCACATCATATTAACCTAGTAGCTTGGTAGGAATTTGGTGCCCATAAAACAGATCTATATCAATGGGTGTCTTTAAATACCTCAATATTCACTACTGCATCTATGTGAGTTGCCTCGGCTCTTGCACGAATTGACTCACGATCACAACTGAATATGGAAAGTTTGGTAAGATCATGGTGATTTCGGTTGGAATTGTAGTGAGCTTATAGATTGTTTTTTATCACTGATTTTATGAGTCTTTAACAACAGATCCAGGGGTTTTACCATGGACTAACTCTAGATATTTATAGGCAACCTGTTGATTTCCATTACATTGTGCTTTGGTAAGGGAAATACATATAATCAGTACAATAAGGGAAATACATGTAATTAGTACAACAAGCAGTAAAGATTTAAAAAAAAGAAGAGGAACACTAAAAATATTCCTGCAAGCTTGTGCCTCTCTGCCTCAATTTTCACCTATGGTTGTCTTTTTATTTTTTTCTTCTGTTCTTTTTTTTTTTTGGTTGTTGGGCTTGGGGAGAGCAGTGTAAAGTTTGATCACAATTAGGGATTTGATCCCCTTTGGCCTTAAAACTTTGTCAAACCCTGCTCCTTGTCACTTTGAACACTAAATTTTACCCCTTAGGTTAGAATACCAAATCCAAATCCAACTTTCCCAGGACTGAGTCCAATTGAGAAATGAGGAGGGTTGAGATAGGTTGGCAGCCAGTGAAAAGTTTTTGCCACATCCCTATCATTAATCCTGATAAAGCAAAATGGTGAAACATAATTTATATAGCCAACCCAAAATAGTCGGGATAAAGCTCAAATGATGGTGATGATGGGCAATGATGAAAATCAAATGTGTAACGCTTTTTTTCGATACAATTCAAGGGCTTGTGTCTGTCAGCATGCACACTTTAGGCTGTCACTCTCTCTTTAACACAATTGTATAACAAAGGGTCTAACCAAACAAGAGTCTAACCCCCTTCAAATGGCCAAGGCATGGAGTATTTATAGACTTGGGGTGGTATTGGGGATTTTTTGCTATTTTTTAATTTCAGGGGAAGTTCTTTGGGCCGAAATTGTTCTATAATTTGATGAGGAGTGAATCATGAACGATTAGACGAAAATCTTATCCATTAAGTACTCATAGGCATGGAGCTATGAATCGATCATTGACCAATGATCACTCTGCAGCAACCTTGATTTTTCTCTTGATTTTATTTCTAAACTAGTTCTAATCCGTCAAGTGTTGTTTGGTGTAAGAGAACCCAACATGACATCAAACCAGCCTGGTCAACTATGGAGTATGGGACTGGATTACACTGCGGTCATCCTATCCCTTCAACATGGGTTTTAAAGCCACAGATGGACCTTGGGACCCCCCCATTACTAAAACAAACAGTTAAAAGGTAGGGAATGCAATGGTATCCGGGCAATGGAAAACTGCCTATTGTAGATGCACAAGGTTGATTGATCAGACTGACACAAGGTATCACATATACAGGAACTATGGAAACCTGCAGGAGACCATCAAAATGGTCTCAAATCAAGGTCAAGATTGAGGATCCACATAATATGTGAAATAGGATCTTGCTGTAAAAAATCATGAGTTTAGGAGACCATTGTGACACTAAAGTATCACAAGGATGGTCAATAAGGGAGGTTAGTTAAACGCCCACTAGATCGACTCAGAAAGTTGTCAAAATACAAATCCAAGAGGTGCTCAAAATACCCTTAGAAAATCATGACATTCCAACACCATATGCTGGAGATTTGGGACTAAAGTTAGATGTACTGATGGGCACTATTTGGACCAAAAAAGCGGGTCAGTTCACAAAACGATCTGTAGTGTCCGATGAAACCAAAACTTGGTAGAATAAATGGTTAGCCCTTAAACCCATGCAGGTCTAAATTTTAGCTCAATCTGATAGCATTTTTGAAGAGTTCCTTGAAAGTACAATGTGGGTGGCTTCTTGGACACTGTCAAGGCCCACAAACATAAAGTAGCAATCCTATTGAAAGGACCAAATAGGCACCTCCCAAGATGACCTTTCGCAACCTTTTGGGCCATATCTCTCAAACTCCAAGGTGAAACGAGTTGAAATTTCGAGAATTGTTCCTCACTCAGTGCTCTTTCCATCTGTATACATGTTAATGGCATTATTTTCTTGGACTAGTACCAAATTGATAATCAAAGTAGGGGATCAAATGGGTCATAGCTGGTTGCAGGCCGCATGACCTCCACCCACCTTTCAATCAATTTCATTTCCTTATATTTGGAAATGAAAGTTTGTTAATAAGCTCCTCACTCAATTCCTAAAACATCAATGAATTTATTGTGTGTGGTTATTTACAAGATTGAAATGTGGCCCAAAATGAATACTGTGACAAAATGGCCTCTGGTCAATTAACTCAATAATCCATTAATATGAGGAGATTTTGCATGGAACTTGAGGCAAACCTCCTCATATTAACTCAATATGGTTATTTCATTTTGAAATGTGGCCCAAAATGAATGCTGTGACAGAATGGCCTCTGGTCAATTAATTCAATAATCCATTAATATGAGGAGATTTTGCTTTTCGAGTTTCGAAAGGCAAACCATATATATGTCCCCAAAATAACCATAAGTAACTTGTCCATTGAAAAAAAATGGGGCAAAATGTTTGCTTTTTAGATGATCTAAACTTTTGGGTTTCTACCAATCAGTTGAAGATGGGCCTAGAAGTCTCTGCATGTGACTTGAATGTGGTGTGCACGGGGTAATACGGTGGCCGCACACACCCTAGAACTGGGCTGTTGTGGCGTACAACTGGTCACACTCAGCCTGAAACATGGTGTGCATGACCCAAAGAACGTCGTGAAGTCCACAACAAGGGTGCGCATGGCTAATCCCAGATCATAAGTAATCAAGATTAGGCTCGCCCATGGTCCGGTCAAGCACAATCCTGCTCAAGGTCAGGTCACGTGTGGTGTTGACTTTGCTGAAAGTTGGACATGGTGAACTAGTATGGTCCCTCATTCTTTTTTTTTTTTTAGCGGCATAAAAAAACCTCTAAAGATTTCACCGCACCCCCTCATCTCTTATCTCTCTCTGACTTTTGACAATAAAAATTAGCTCTAACAAATGTTTTTATACCATTTCAACCCAAAAACTTTTTTAACCATCTTTTCTGGTTTCCACCCATTAAAAACATTTTTGGATTGAAATGATAGAAAAAGATTTATTGAGGCTAATTTTTTAAGGTCAAAAGTCAATAAAAGAGGGAGATAAGAGATGAAGGGATACAGTGAAATCTTTAGAGGTTTCCTTATACCGCTTGAAAGAAAACTTGAAAGAGAGTCTACCTTGAAATAATATGAAGAATTAGAGTTCTATACGAAATTTTCCCAAAATTCAATTCACTTTCCCTTTATTTTCTTCAAATCTCTACACATGCTTCTTTGTAAAGTCAATTTGTCTTTTATTTTAAAAAATCCCTTTTTCAAATCACTCAATTAAATGGCATCTTGGATGCCATAACAAAAGTACGAAAGGGGCTGAGTTGTGGTGGTAGGGGCCCGTCTTCCCCACTGAATTACCAAACAAAAGGAGAAGTAAGTAATGCACAATGTGGGACGCGCCACCCATTAGAGCTTTAGTGGGCCCCACATACTTCCCCACAGTTCTAAATTGGTGGGGCCCATAGAGAATAATGGGCTCCCATGTGTCTTAGTTATTTTAAAATTAACAATATGATTTTAGAAATCATTTAATATTTTATTTTTCTCTGAATAATTAAATATCTCAAAATTCAGTTTAAGCCTATTTATAAATTGTTTTGAGAAAATAAAATATCCAAATACTTCTAAAAACTTATTATAATAGTTAATTTATAATCAATTCTAAATTAATATGATGGGATTCGGATCCAATTTCATTAAGGAAAATGTGAAAATACTAAGGCACTTCATTTTCTATTAGAGACCATGAACTACACTCATTTCCTCAAACTAACCCAGTAGTTCCCATGATATGCAATTCATCAAAGGTGTTTATAATTGGGCTACTAAAGTCAGTCAA